TAACCTACATGCAGGCAATATACACATATACATAAAAAATATTTTTTAAAAATGTAGTTGATTGAAAGCCGGGAGTGGTGGCGCACACCTTTAATCCCCCTACTTGGGAGGCAGAGGCAGGCGGATCCTTGTGAGTTCAAGGCCATCCTGGTCTACATAGTGAGTTCAGGTCAGCTGGGACTACAGGGAGACTCTGTCTCAAAAAGACAAAAAAGGAAAAAAATGGAATCTTTTAGAATGGTCAGTAGGGATAGCAGGGCAGACATCAATGAGCCCCCAGTTTCACTGTATCTGTCTGCTGCCAGTGGAAGAATTCTACTGACAGTTCTCTGATCCCATTCAACCTGCCCTTGGCTCCTGGAAGCCACCCCGGGTCCTATCCTCACCTTGTCACAAGATGGCAGTTTACTTCTTCAAAGGCAGCAGCACACTCCCAGCTGTGACCTCTAGGAATTGAACATCTCAGTCCTACAACCACAAGGACTGATTTCTGCTATCTATCAGTGATCTGGGAAGAAAAGCTATCTCAGAGGAGACAGCAGCAGTGAGCAACACTGATTTCAGCCTGTGAGACCCAGGGTTGAGAAGCCAGTAGAGCCCAGCACACCCTGCCTTCCAACTACAGGGGCAGTGGAAAAGTAGGTGGCTATTGATTTCAGCTGCTGAGTTATCCACTGCCATAGAAAATACCAACCAACACCTGGAAGGAAGACAATGCCACAGCGCACACACACCCACACCATGGGAGGGACTTTGAGGAGCTCAACAGAGAAAGCCTACATTTCCTTAAACAGATCATTGGTAAAAATATGGATGCTATGGCCGTTGGCATTAAGAACACAGAAGGAAATGAGGGCTGTGCTAGTGGAAACTGGAAGGGAATCCTTGCTTGTCATGGTAGAAAGCTTAGCAAAACTGGCTCCCTCAAAGAAGTGGAAAGGAGAACTTTCCAGAGATGGACCTCATTATACAGCGAAGCTTTCCATGCAGTGTTGAAAGTGCTGCCTGGTTTGCTTTGATGCTCACAGCAAAATGGGCAAAGACTGAAACAGAAAGAAAAACTGTTACACAAAAATGAGCTAGGAATGAATTATTTAGAAAACTCGAAGCCTCTCCACAAGCCAGGAGATGTAGAAGTGTGATGGAGGAAAGACTGGGTGTGAAGACAGCCAGAATCTTTGACAGCGCTGGGCTTGATCTCAGAGCTCCTCGTGCCGCTGCTTCCCAAGTGGCTGCTTCCCAAGTGCTGGAATTAAAGGTGTGTGGCACCACACCCAGCCAAAGGCAAAATCTTAAAAGACAGTAAGAGAGAACACCTTACACAGAGGAGCAGTTCTGACAGACAACCTCTCACACATCCTGAGTGGATGAAGTCACAAGACTCACAGTGCTGGGATAAGCAGCCAGACCTGCCAAGGACCTTCTTATACCCAGCTAAACTATCTCACAAACACCAAAGGCAGGATGAAACCATTCCCAAATAAGGAAAAGATAACCTACTGCAAACAGACCTATCCTTAGGGGAAGTGCTAAAGAAAATCCTTACAATGAGGAAAAATGATGCCAAGTAGTTACTTAGTCTCGGGAAGTGAACTGGAAAGTTTGGAATGGTCTGTATCTCAGGAAGTGTAAGGGCTGTGTGAGGGTGTGTGTGCACACACTCCCATTGTTGAAAGCAGAAATCATGCCATTCTACTGCTGAGCTTGTAAGACATATAATGCCCATAGGAGAACTGAGGGGGGAAATGGAGCTGGGTTCCTGCAAATTTGTTAAGTTTTACTGGATTTTAACTACTCAGTAAGAAGACTGTGACAAATTTAGGAAGCATATTGCAATTCCTAAGGCAACAGCTAGACAGGTAATTAAATGATAGGGATCTGGGGATGTAGCTCAGTGGTACAGCACTTGCCTAATACACAAGGCGCTGGGTTTGAACATCAGCACTGAATGTATGTGTCTGTGTCTGACTCTGTGTGTGTGTGTGTGTGTGTGTGTGTGTGAGAGAGAGAGAGAGAGAGAGAGAGAGAGAGAGAGAGAGAATGTGAAATCAAGACATACTTATGCCATCATGAAGATGGGCTACGAGTCTGTAGCAAAGTTTTAGTTTTCTAAGAATCATTATCTGGGGCTGGAGAGTTGGCTCAGCAGTTAAGAGCAGTGGGCGTGTTTGCAGATGACCCAGGTTCGAGTCCCAGCACCCACATGATGGCTGTCTGTAACTCTGGTTCCAGGGAATCCAACACCCTCTTCTGGCTTCCATGGGCACTGTATAACATAGATGCACTTATATACATGCAGGGATAATACTCATACACATAAAAATGAACTTAAAAATTAAAAAAAATTAAGTTATGTGATAATTTTTGTATGATGTCTCAGCATCCACAGTGGACATGGGTTTAACCTACTCATTCAGAAGCAGGTTCCTTCCAGTTCCTCAGTTTGCTTTACCCATCTACCTCCTGGTGCCCACTCTCTTATGAGACTCATCCTGTGATCCCTACACCCTGTAGACTACAGATGGGGTTATGGCAATCACCTGTCACGGCATGACTCCACAGAACTTGTCTGAAGGTCTAAACACACCTGTTAGAACCCTGAAGAGGATTATTTGGGCAACACCTTGGACCCCAATAAGTTTTGGACACCAGTGCCCGACCTCATACTTTCTCTCCACCCCAAGTGTGCATATCCTAGATGGTTCCCTTTCTTTCTATTGGCCCTAGGAGGCCCACCACCCTTTCTCTCTGGGTCTGTGAAATGCTGCTTGAGAAATGTTATTTCAAGTGCTGTGCTGCCTCCCCATGTAAAGCTGGCCAATACTCCAAAGGCTAACTTCTTCCTTTCCAGGCTCAGAACGGCCACTTTGGTAAGTTATATTGGACTTGAGTCAGAGAAGAGTCAGGCTGTCTTCCAGTATAAAAATGTTCCCTGTGGGAGGGATACCTGCTCACAGGTGGGATTTTTAGGCATCTCCTGTCCTCCAGGAAACATCCCATGAAAGACAGGCTGCAAACATCCATCAAATACCTGGATCCCCAGCAAGTAAAGCTAAAGTTGACAAACTCACTCTCCCGAGAGATGGGCTAAAAGAGAAAAATACAACAGAGCCCTACAACCTGAACCCCAATGGGGGCTGGCCTGTACACACCCCAACTCTATGTACCCTCAATGCATTCACACCTTCCCCTGTCAGGTGGGAGCAAGTAAACACAGTCAAAGTATAGATATGAGGACTTCCTCATATCCATGTAGCCTTTCCAGACCCTTCAACATCACCAAAGGGAAAGTCTTCTCAAAGTACTGGAACTTATCTCTTAGTCTGTGACAATATTTCCCACATGTTCAAGATTATGATTTTCCGTGATCTTCTCTTCTAATACTGCATGTAAGCTGGTGGTGGGAATAAGTGGGCTGATTCCTGAAGCCAAGCCAGAGGCCACAGTGCCTGTGACATGCACAAGACGCCACCACAGCCTCCCACACTTGGGGTGCATCTGCCAGCATCCACTCCATCTGGCCCACCCATGCTTTCTTTCTGTGTCAGGGAGGGACACCCCCTTCATTTAGCCCTCCTGACTCTACAGAAGGCTGGAAGGAGGCAGGAGGAATGGGCCCTCTCCTGCCCTATGAGACTCCGCAATGGGACAAGGGGAAGGCTTGACCCACCAACCCTCAGCAGGAGAGCTGAGCAGCACAGGCCACCCCACCCCACACTCCTGCCTGCTCAAGAGCAGCCTAATCCAAAAAGATGAAATTTGTATGTGCTTCTGAATAAATACGTTTGACGCTCACATTTTATGTAGGGTGTTTATGACAATCAAAGCTAAGGGGCTGGGGAGATGGCTCAGTGGATAAGGCACTTGTCACATGAGAACAAGATAAGGATTCCCACCCCCAGGACCACATAAAAGCCAGGCTGGCAAGCATGGAGGTCTGCAGAAAATGACTGAGGGAGACACCTGAAGCTAACCTCTGGTCTCCATATACACTGGCATAGCCCTCACTTGCTCCATGTGGGCAGAGCCTCACAAGGCCTCAAGCTCTGTTTCAAGCTCCCCATCTTACACACAAGAACAGAGAGAACAGAGCCATTAAGAGGCATCAGGTGGTTCCAAGTCAGACCTGGCAGAGCTGTTTCTGGGTAGCTTTAACCTCATTCCTGCAGGAACCACCCCCCCAGGGGAGAATGTAAATGAAAGAACCAGAGACATGAGATGATGCTTTTTAATCACCTGCACACGTTTTCAGTTGCTTCCATCTGACTGGGACAGAAACAAGATCTGCAGCCCACATTTTCATTGATGTCTTCTGAGACATGGTCTCATGTAGCCCAGGCTTACCTCCAATTCGCTGTGTAGATGATGATTACCTTGAATTTCTGATCCTCCTGCCTCCATTTCCCAAGTGCTGGGTTAGAAGTGTACACCACCACACTCAGTTTTTAAAACAGGTACTGGGGATTGAACCCAGGTCTTTGTGCACACTAGGCAGGCACTATACCAAATGGGCTACATCTCCAGCTCAGCTCACTGATGGTATTTTTAATTATTCCCTATGGGCTTTATCACATTAGCAAGCTCCTGGAACAGACCTAGGTCGTTTAGACATCAGGGTTATTGAGAAATACCCACAGCAGCTGCTGTATCACAAACTTTAACATTGATTTAAAAGAGCAAATATTGCTTACAAACAAATTTGAAAACTGAATTTTGTGTAGAATGTGACCTTTCTCCCTGGTACTATCATGTGCTAAAAATTAAAAATAATACAAACATGTTTTAAAGTCATAGTGGTCACTACTAGAAGCAACCAGCTACCCTCCCACTAGGTATTGTTAGAATCCACTCTCGAGTTCGTAGTATTGTGGTCTATCACATGGTCTCTTTGAGATTTCAGCTATGGTTAGTCCC